GTCAGTGTGGCTTCATCGAGAGGAAGTGTGTCGTCTAGCGAGTCATCCCTGCGGAGGCGATGGTTTGACAGCCGGCCAGCGAGTGCCGAGTGGGTCGTCTAGTGCACCGAAAGAGTCTGTAGATCGCGGTTGTGCATCGTCGAGAGAGCGGTGAGCTCCGGGAAAAGACTGAACCCGAGAGTCAGGAGTTATACTCTTGTGTGTCGTCGAGTGCATCGCGAGTTTGCGTGGAGAGTCTAGTACGGGAGTCCAGAACGACCAACAGAGTCGGTTGTTTGCAGGAAGCTGTCTCCACCGTGATAGCTTGATACCTGAAGGCTGTGTCGCTGATCGTGTCAGCGTGCTAAAGTAGATCTTCGACGATGAAACATGTTTTGGAGCTGTCTGACAATACTGGCAAATAAAGTGTGTTTCGATACTTAATAAAGTGTCGTCCATTCACTCCAAATCTACACGAACCCCGTACGAACGTGAAGGAAGGAAATAACGCAACAAATGATGTTAGAAAAGAAAGAAAAACGCAACAATACCTTGAAATTTTGCCTGAGAACAGGGCACGTCACTTTTGAAGTGGGTTACACTTTTCTTGGAAAAGTGGCTGTAATTTATTACCCTTTTATCGATGATTGGAGAGAGTTTAAAAAAAGGATTTGAATGGATATAAGAGATTAATTTGTAACTAATTCGAGCCAATGATAAACTTAGAGGCGGTCTTCATTTTTGAGAAGACAAGTAATTTTAAACTTTTTAATGATATCTTAAAAGTTGTAAAAGAGGATTTTTTAATCGTATAAAAAACGGAAATAAATAAATAAAAATAAAATACAGCCTTTTTGTGGCTTGCAAGCTTCGGGGACCTGACCAAGTTCCAGCTGTCTTCGTATAAATAAGCTTTCTTCGTCCCACGACGGGAGAACATTTTATCGGCGATTAAAGATGGGGCAAAAGGCCAGAGCCCGCGTTTTTCCTGACGAGATTCTCCTTGGAGAAATTTGCCTATGTCTCGTCGAAGGTCTTCAAAAAAATTAATAAGCGCTTAAGCGTCATTTCCTCTTGTCTGAGACTTATTTAAGGTATTGCTTGCAATTTTCTTCGAAGCCTAATTTGGAGTATCTAAACGGTTGTCTGTATGCGTGGACGATCTTAAATTTGCGATCCCGTTTCCAGGTTCGTTGTTCTTCCTACATCATTGGTTCAGTGACAGAAGTTCTAAAATTTCGGAAGTCGCCAAAAGCTGGTCTTTTTTCTGTGCCATTGTAGGGGAAGGCAGTCTGTGCGAAAATTGGAACTCAGCTAATTGTTGTGCTCGAATGATGAAGTATGAATGAAGCTAACTTAGTGAGGGCAGTCATCAGACTTAGTTTTTGCAGCAATTAAGTATTCGGCGGCATTTACGAATTGTGTAAAGAAATAGTGGACTAACTCTCTGATCCTTCCTAATGTTGATCGCCAAACCTGAGCATAGTTTTTGTTATTGTTTGTTGATTTGTGGTTATTGGTAATTAGTTGGTTATTGGTTATTGGTACCTAGCACTTTGAAAGCACTTTTTTAAAAAAATTAAGGTTTTTTTGTAATAAATTTGATAGGATTCGATAAAATAATAGTAATGATAATAATTAAAAGAAAGATGGAATTTTAGTAATTGAATGAATTTCAGTGTCTAATGATAACTAAATAAATATAGTAGAATATATTAAAGGGATAAATTGTTAATTATTCAAAGTGTGAATGTATTTTAATTAGCAAAATGAAATGTGGGTTGTTAGGCATTTAAGAGAGAAAATGTTATAGGTACCTGCATCTAGTCATCCCATCTACCTTAATTTATTTTGAACAATGATTAATAAAAATGAGTCTGAATTTAAAAAAAAATTATTTTATTAGGGTTCTATCTTTATCAGGTCCCTATGTGATCCTCAGAGAAAATGCGAATGTTCTAAATCGAATCTGGGTAACTTATTGCGGCTTAGTTGTGGAATAAAGTAGTTATGTGCATTTGAACTTTACGATCAGATTTATTATGATTGTATTTGAACTGGTGATATATGTTTTCAAGAGACTTTTTAGATTTGTGATTTTTTTGTGTAAAACTTAAAATGAGCTGCCTAACAAGGATAATGGTTAGCGACTCTGACTGCCGCACCAAAGGACCCGGGTTCGAATCCCGGAGGGGGCATGGTTCTTTGTAAATGTATAGTGCCTACCACAAGGAATTTCATGGGCTTGTTCTGATGTTACTAACAGACAAGTGAGATAAATCATAACAACAGCAATAAACTTACAATGAAAAGAAGACTTGCGAAATTCCAAGCAGAAAGTAAACTTAATTTTTGGACCTTATGGTCAGTAATTGCAGAATGGTAATTTAAAATATTAGATAATCCATTTCTATTAGAAATTCTTCTACATATCTGTGTGCTAAATGGTTTTTCATCATTAACTCAAACAAAAACGAAGTATCGAAAATCGACTTGATTTATGTGCCTATCTCAAACTAAA